TAAGCAGCTAAGAATATAATTCTGTCTCCTAGAAATCACTAGAAAAAATACCTTTCTAGAGGAGCTTTCAAATGGAAAATGGGGAGTTTAATAGGTATTGAATTGCAGTTTTAAATGATTAATAAAGCTCTTACAATTTTTTTAAGTTGGTTCCACAACAATTGAATATACTCAACACTACTTAACTATACATTTAAAATGATTAAATTGTAATTCCAGTTTGGTCCTGGGAGAACTGTGGTAGATATATGTATATACACAATGGAATACTACGCAGCTGTAAGAAAGAAAGAGCTCTTATCTTTTGAGACAACATGGAGGGACCTCAAGAGTATTATGCTAAGTAAAATAAGCCAATCAGAGAAAGACAAATACCACATGATCTCACTTAATTGTGGAATATAATGAACAAGGTGGGCTGATGAACAAAAGAGACCAAGAGACATAGTAAAGAGTATGCTTCAGACTGACATACCACAGATTAGAGGGGTGGAAGGGGGGATGGATGAGATGAACCAAAGAACCTATATGCATGTATGCATAACCAATGGGCATAGACAACAATGCTGGGGGTGGTGGGAGGCAAGATGGGGAGGAGGGGATCTAGAGGGGTAAAATGGAGAAGCATCTGTAACAAAAATAAATTAATAAAAATTGAAAAAAAAAGTGGTTAAAGTGGAAATTTTATGTTATATGCACTAATCACAATTTTAAAATAGAAATTAAAATATATTTTATTTTACTAACTTTTTAGTACTCTAGTAGGGAACATGATATAGCTTATTTTAAGGAGAAAGGCACTGCATTAATAGGAAGGTTGAATCAGAGACCTTGGAAGATCTTTTCCAAATTCCAGAGTTTCAACATTGAATTTTTCCTCAGGATAGTTCACATGTCTTTTTTTTTAATTCCCAGAGAATGACCCAAGGGGATTGGCACTTCAGAGAAACAATTTCTCCAAAGAGGCAATAACTTCATCCAATGAAAATACTGAACCCCTACTATATCAGTTTCCTAGGGTTGCCATAACAACGCACCATAAATTGAGTGGCTTAAACATAGAAATTTAATGTCTTAGTTCTGGAAACTACAAGTCTGAAATCAAGGTCTCGGTGGTGTCATGGTCCTTGTGAAACCTGCAGGAAGTTCTTCCTTGTCTCTTTCCAGCTCCTGGTGGTTTGTGGAAATCTTTGGTGCTCACTGGCTTATAGCTGCATAACCCTAATCTCTGCCTTTGTCATCACAGGTGTTCTCCCTGTTTCTGTGTCTTTGCATGGTCTTCTTTTATTTTATTTTATTTTTTTAGTAAGAACAAGAGTCCATTCTAATTCAATATATCCTTATCTTAACTAATTACATTTGTAATTACTCTCTTTCCAAATAAGGTCACATTCTTCTGAGGTACAGTGGGTTAAGGCTCCAATATTTATATAGTTGGGGAAATAAAACCCAACTCAAAATCTGTATGTATAAGGTATTGTCCAAACTAAAGTTATTACTAGGTGATGACTCCATGATAAGTTACATTTTTGTATTACCTCTACTAAATTCCTAGTACCGGACACCCAAAAAACTATTTAAGAGTATTGTGCTAAGTGAAATAAGCCAGAGAAAGGCAAGTATCACGTGATGTCACTTATATGTGGAATCTAATGAACAAAATAAACTGACAAGCAAAATAGATCCAGAGACATGGAACAGGGGACAGACTGTCAAACCTCAGAGGGAAGGGGGAGTAGGAAAAGATAAACCAAAAACATATACATGTATGCACAAACCATGGACACAGGCAATAGTGCTGTGAAGGCCTAGGGGAGCAGGAGCAGTGGGGTGAAAGGGGACAATGTGGCAAAGAGGGGGTACTTCTGTAATATTTTCAACAATAAAGATATTTAAAATATATATATTTGTTGTTGAATAAATGAGTAATTAAATTTGGTATCAGGCTCAGATTGAAATCATAAAGCTGACGTACTTTGGAAGTCTAATGCCATAGTCCCAACAGCTTTATCACTTATTTGGTCTGTGAATCACCAGCACATTTCACCTTTTTATTCATCTGTGAAACCTGGACCTACCACATTTTCAGGATCTTGAGCATTCTTTTGATACCACTTTTTATGAAAAGATAAGATGGTTGTAGTGACTTTCTGGAAAATGGTCCAACCCAGCAGTGAAGAGTACAGATCATACCATACAGCTACTTTAAGACACAATTGAGAAGTTCAAAGAAAAACAGCAGCAGGAGTCTAAGAGCTATTGTGTAAGTGAACAAAAGTGAGGTCATCACACACAAGAGAGGTTGAAGAGAGGCTTTCTCTGACCCATTGATTAACATTTTCAAACAACTTAGCACAACTGTGGCAAACAGTGACAGACAAATCAAGGTGACATTCAGCTCTAAGGGAAATTCTTTAGCAACAGCTCAGAATAAACTAACAAGATTCTCAAATTGCAGCTATCAGAACAAAGCAAATGACAAATGTCAGGTGTACACAGTATAAAGGTGATCTATATTGTCTTTCAGCCTCATCTTCACGCAGAAATACCATTGTCACCATTAGGGGGTTGTCTAGACAAGAATAATAACATGCTCAGAAAAGTATTCCTGAGACATTTCTACAACGTGCAAATTTTAAAGATTTTTATTTTCACATATACCTAACAAATCATGGGCACTCACTCAATTTCACAGAAGCTAATAACCCAGTTTCTTAAAAGAAGAGTCACACTCTATATAAGTTTATGTCAGTCTTTGATTCAAATGAAATTAATATCACAGAAAAAAAATCACATTTTGCATAACCATCAGGGTAGAGTGGAAAAGAAGAACCTAAGTTGGGGTCTCAGTAATAGTCAGGAAATGCAGGTCATAACAACCTGGCTGCCTGACCTGGCACAGAGGATGCAGACTTTTAATACTCTTCTTCATGTCAGAATTGAGGGGCAGTAGCAAGCCAGTCAATGCCTCATCCTCGTATTATACAGAACTGAAGAGATTGTCTTAGATTTGTCAGTTTGTAAATCACCACTCGTGAAAATACTCTGTCCTTCTCTGGGTATTGTGAATAGACAACAAATATTCTTCATGTGTGCCAACCAGGGACCTTGAGATGTTTGCCCCCTCCCACATAGTACACATTCACCAAGCACAAGAATATTCCAGACATAATAAGACATGTAAGCTTAATGATTTGCAAACACTTGTCTAGGACATGTTTACATTTAAAATGTTTTTAAATTTCAAAAAAAAGAAATATCAATTTAAAGTACAAATAGCAATGAACATCTAAAAGATGAGATTGCCAGCTGTGTTTAATTTTGTTTGTTTTATAAATATTTTGACATTGAGCACTTTTTCATATGTCTCTTGACTGTCTGTATGTCCTCTTTGAAGTGTCTGTTTAGGTCATTTGCCTATTTGTTAAAAATGAATTGTCTTCATTTTGTTGAATTGTATAAGTTCTTTATATATTTTGGAAATTAACCCCTTATCTGATGTATCTTTGGCAAATATGTTCTCCCATACAGTGGGATTCCTTTTCATTTCGATGCTGGTTTCTTTTGCTGTGCAGAAGCTTTTTATTTTTATTTATTTATTTACTTATTTATTTATTTATTTAGCTGGAAAATGTACTTTTATTCTTGCAGTTTTATACTAGGAAATCAACATTTAATTTCATAATTCATTGTTCACGATTGACTTATAAAAAAATTTTAATTGCACATCAATATCCTATGACTCCAAATTTTATTTACCACTCTCCTTCAAGTCTGAAGAAAATGATTAATTTATTAAGTTCCACAGACAGCACAGTCCCACTGACATAACATTTAGTCAAGTCCTACGCTCACGTGAGAATTAAGGATAGCCAGTATCAAACTGGCCTGAAACCTGATTGTGTTCCTGGCTCAGGGTACCTGTCATAAATCTGTAGATCCACACTACGACACAAAAATAAACTAGAGTGTGTATGTCGTATAAGAAGCTTTTCACAATAGAGTAAAAATTAACATTAAAATGTTACCAAATCTCAACCGTATTATATTTCATCCAATTAGCTTTCTAGATGCCTGATTTAACTGTGAATCAAGTGCAAATAACTTCATGTAGGTTTTTTAAAAAGTTTGCCCAGCATTTCAAAATGGTTACTGAATTAATATAACTTTTAAAATGTCAAAGTATGCTATACATATTGTACTTTTCTGCTAGGCTGGGCTGCTATTTTCCATGCAAGATACTAAAATTACTGAATAAAATACACTTTAAAATCAATAGGTACTTGATTAAATTTCCCTGAAATGATCAACATCATTATCAGAATCTTCCAGGATTTTGTAAGATTTGATTCCTTAAATACAGCTTTAAAGTTTAACTTAAGCCCTGGCCGGTTTGGCTCAGCGGTTAGAGCGTCGGCCTGCGGTCCTGAGAGACCCGGGTTCAGTTCCCGCTAAGGGCGCGTACCTCGGTTGCAGTTTGTCCCCGGCCCTGGTCGGTTGTGTGGGTGGAAGCCACTCGATGTGTTCCTTTCACATCGATGTTTCTGTTCCTCTCTCTCCCTCCCACTCTACCTGAACAAAAAATGGAAAAATGTCCTCGGGTGAGGATTAAAAAAAAAATAAAAAAAAAAGTTTAACTTAAGGAGGGAAAAATACCCTCATATATTTTACTTCTATGTCCTTTTTTGGTCCTTCAATGACCAAAGAGAATTTTAAACAAATTATGGTTCATGTTTCTTGGCTTAATAAAAAACTACAATTACTATTATCCAAATTAAGAAAAATTATTAAGCAAAAGCTATTAATTTTGAAATATCTGTCTATAGGTCCCCTTAGAACCTTTCCAAACTTCTGTAATCAAGAGACTTTCATCAACTATGTTAGAATCAAATTAGGTAAGGAAAAACTTATTTTGCAAAAATAAAATCACTTCCCAATATGCTTGACAGAAACAAGCTATTCATGTTCATTTGTGTTCCAATGAGGACATTACTGAAATCTGTCCAATGGTTTATTTCCAATTGGTCCACTGTGGAATTCTTCGGAATGTTTTAAGATTGACTGTAGCTAGAATTCTGACTTCCATTTGGACCCTGCTCTCCTTCACTGTTTGGAGGAGGTTTCGGTTTGGGCATCTTACTAAGAATAGTTGCCATCTCTTTTCTCTCATCAAAATTCTTCTACTGTTCGTATAGTTTTAATATAACCCTGATTATTTCCAAAATCTTCTCCATATCCACAGAAAGCTCAGCAAACCACTGCCTGGCATATTTCTGCTGTACAACACAGGCTACATGTAGACAAGCTAAAGCTATCATGAAAGGAGGATACAGTTGGCAAAGATCCGTTCTGTAGGTATCATTCACTATCCTCCATGCAAGGGGAAGCAACATGTCTTCTTGGCCCATGTCCTGCACATACTGGAGCAAAGGTCTATAAGGATGATACACTATCAAGCAACAATCCATTAGTTCTAAAAGACAGAATTCACATTCTAATATATTGTTCGTCCTGTAAGGAAATTCCTTTGGAAATGCATATGAAAATCTAGTTTTTAATACAGAAGTAGCAGCCAAAATCAGTCTTGTATTTGAGACTACTCCAAATTCCTCCACTTTGGATGCCAAAAACACACATGTAGGAGCCATTAACACAGGATCTATACTTTTCAGAGAATACCTGGCATAGAATCTCTTGAAATAGACTGTAGCAGTGGCAATAACTTGTTGTTTTAATTTAAGATGTTCACCTAATGCTTGGATAACATTTGTAAAAAAATATTTGTAATTTCCAATATTCTTCTTCTGAGAGAAACTTTAAGTCCTTTTGGCATTCCTTCAACAGATCTTGTTTATCCAAAATCCATTGCAAATAATGGGAGCTCTGCCAAAAGTTCCCTGCCATGGAACACAGCTTGCCCTGGTATAAAAAAGCACCAGCCGGCAGATCAGCTGAGGAGCGACCATAGACCCAGCCCGCTGGTAACTGCGCTCCTCGATCAGATCTGCTCTGCTCTGCTCCATGGTGGCCAAGCTTTTATTTATTTTTTCCTTTGTTTCTATTGCCCTAAGTGATGTATCAGTGAAAATTCTGCTACATGAGATGTCTGAGATTTTGCTGCCTATGGTTTCTTCTAGGATTTTTATGGTTTCACAACTTATATTTAAGCCTTTTATCCATTTTGAGTTTATTCTTGTATATGGCGTAAGTTGGTAGTCTAGTTTTACTTTTTTTGCATGTACCTGTCCAATTTTTCCAATACCATTTATTAAAGAGACACTCTTTACTCCATTGTATGCTCTTGTCCCCTTTGTCAAATATTAATTGAGCATAATGGCTTGGGTAGATTTCTGGGTTCTCTGTTCTGTTCCAAGGATCTATATTCCTGTTCCTGTGCCAGTACCAGGCTGTATTGGTTACAATGGCTTGGTAGTGTAATTTGATATCTGCTATTGTGATCCCTCCAATTTTGTTCTTCTTTCTCAAGATTGCTGCGGCTATTTGAGGTCTTTTTTGGTTTCATATAAATTCATGGAGTATTTGTTCTAGATCTGTGAATAAGCCCGTTAGAAAAAGACAAGTATCACATGATTTCATTTATATATGGACTCTAATGAACAAAATAAACAGAGAAATAAAATAGATTCAAAGTCATTAAAGCATCAACAGACTGAGGAACCTCAGAGGGAAGGGAGGAGAGGGGGTGGGAAGAAATAAACCAAAGAACTTATATGCATATATGCATTACCCATGGACACAGACAATAGTATGGGGAAGGCAGGAGGGGGGAGTGGGGTAAAGGAGGTCAATGAGGGAAAAAGGGGGGAGATCTGTAATACTTTCAACAATAAAAATAATTTTTTGAAAAAGAAATTTAGTGTTACTTGTGAGAAAAGGATTTAAGATAAACTAATAGAGAGTACCTTACATAATTGACTCAGCACAAGATCACATACAAATGACAATTACTGGCTACTAATTAAAATAAATCCCCAGAGGAAACACTTAAATAAAAATTAAGAAACAATTCTTTTTTTAGCATTTTTATTGAAGTATAATTGACATGTTGACACAAATTGACACATACTTAAAGTGTACCATCTGAAAACTTTTGACATATTTATATATCAATTAAACCATCTTTATAATGAAGATAATAGACATATCTCTCACCCCCAAAACTTTCCTCATTCTTTTTTGTAATCCCTCCCTTATTTCTACCTCCTCCCTTTCCCAGGCAAGCACATTTGCTTTTCACGATAACCGATCAGACTTATTTTTTAAAGAATTTAATATAAATGAAACTCTATAGTACATATAATCTTTTTTAGTGTGGCTTCTTTTCTTCACATAATTATTTTGAGGATTATCTATTTTCTTGCAATATACATATAAACATGTACATGTGTATGCCAATATACAATGATGATAGTTTATTCTTTTTTATTGCTGAGTAGTGTTCCATGGTGTAGATAGGCTACAATTTGTTCATCTAAGTCAATGTTGGTTAATATTTCTATTGTTTCCTGTTTTTTACTATTACAAATATAACTACAATGAATGTTTGTGTACAAGGACTTGTGGTTTCTGTCCTTTTGGGTAAAAACTAGAGTAGAATGAGTCATATGTAGGTATATTTTTAAACTCTTAAGACTAACTACCATACTCTTTTCCAAATTAGTTATACCATTTTTCATTCACATTAGCTCTCTGTGAAGGTTTTTCTACATCCTCATCAACACTTGATATGATTAGTCTTTTAAATTTCAGCCATTCTAACATGTGTCTAATGGTATCTCACTGTGGTCAATTTGCATTTAACTACTGACTAATGTTGTTGAGCCTCTTTTCATGTGCCGAATAACCATTGCATAACTTATTTTGTAAAGGGTATGTTTATCTTTGTCTATTTTATATTGAGCCTTTATTTCTTATTGAGTTATAAGAGTTCTTTATATATTCTGCATAAAAATTATTTATCAAATATATGGACATTTGCTAATGATTTCTTCCTGTCTTGCTTTTTATTCCTTTAACAATGCAGGTTAAAGAGCAGAAGTCTTTAAGTTCATAAAGTATAACATCAATTTGTTCTTCTATGGATCATGATTTTGGTTTCATATCTAAAAATGTTTGCTTAATTGAAAGTGACAAAAGTTTATTCTTGTTATTTCTTTTAGGAGTTTTATAGATTAGGGGTCTATATTTAAATTTATGATTTTTTTTACATATAGATTTACAATTTTCCAACACTATTTGTTGAAAATACTAACCTTTCTCCACTAAATTACCTTTGCACTTTAGATAAAAATCCATTTTCTCTCAAGTATCCCCTTTTCTTTAGTTTTCTGGAAGAGTTCCAGTAGAATTTGTACTATTTATTTCTTAAATGTTTGGTAGAATTCACCATTGAAGCCATCTGGGACTATACTTTTATTTGTAGGCTGGTTTCTAAGTACAAATTCAATTCTTTCAATAGGGCTCTTCATATTATACATTTCTTTTTAGTGAGTTTCAGTAGTTCATATCTGTTGTGGACAAATTTGTAGTTAAATATATATGAATTGTAAAGTTAGACAAGAAGTAGACAGATGAGTCTAATATAATTTGATAGTATACGTATGTTATTTTTTTACTATTAGAGGTTATCACTGCTAGCAATAATCTTATTAGTATCTTTATTGGGCTCTAATGTATGCATATATTAATACAAAATTTGAATTTCTAGTGTTACAGTTAGGTAATGACAATGGAGATACACAATTTTTTAGTGATATATTCCTCAAAATTATATTTTCAACAATAAATAGGCAGAAATTAAATTTCAAAAATCGATAATTGATTTAAAATACTGTACTATATCCATAAAGCAAATAAAATAATAAACATTTAATGTCATGGGAAACTATTTATAACATACTATTAACTAAATGCAAATTGTAGTTCAAAACTGCCTAAGTAATTTTCTTTTTGCTTTTTTTTAAATTTATTTTTGTTACAGATGTTTCTCATTTTTCTCCCATTGACACCCTCCTCCCTCTCCTTCCCTGCCCTGGCCCCAGCTTTGTTGTGCATGTCCATTGGTTATGCGTACATGCATATAATTTCTGTGATTTCTCTCCCCACAACCCCCTTTCTGGCGATTGTCAGTCTCTCTCAGAGTACCCTGTTCCTCAGACTGATATGTTCATTATATTCCACAAATAAGTGAGATCATATGATACTTGTCTTTTTCTGCTTGGCCTATTTCACTTAGAATAGTACTTTCCAGGTCCTTCCATGTCATCTCAAAAGATAAAAGATTTTTTTTTCTTTATTTCTTTATTTTTATTTTTTATTAATTTATTTTTGTTACAGATGTTCCTCCTTTTTTTCCCAATTGACACCCTCCTCCTCCTCCCCACCACCAAATACCCAGCTTTGTTGTCTGTGTCTATTGGTTTTCAGTACATGCACATAAGTTTTGTGGTTCATCTCTTCCCTCTTCCCACCACCCCCTCTTCTGAGGGTTGTCAGAATGTACCCTACTTCCATGTCTCTGGGTGTACCCAATTCCTAAGGTTGTTATGTTCATTATATTCCAAAAATAAGTGACATCATGTGATATTTGTCTTTTTCTGCTTGGCTTGTTTTGCTTAGGATAATATTTTCCAGGTCCCTCCACGCCATCTCAAAGGATAAGAGATCTTTCTTTCTTACAGCTGCGTAGTACTTCATTGTGTATATGTACCACAGCTTTTATATCCATTAGTCTACTGATGGATATTTGGGCTGTTTCCAGATCTTAGCTATTGTAAATAGTGCTGCTATGAAGTTGGGAGTACAGATATTCTTTCTGATTGGTGTTGCATGCTTCTTAGGGTATATTCCAAGAAGTGGGATCATTGGATCAAATGATAATTCAATTTTCAATTTTTTGAGGTAACACCATAGTGTTTTCCATAGTGGCTGCACCAGTCTACATTCCCACCAGCAGTGTACTAGAGTCCACTTTTCTCCACACCCTCGCCAACTCTTGTTTGATGATTTGTTGATGGCAGCCATTCTGACAGGTGTGAGGTGTTTTAATTTGCATCTCTCTGATGATTAGTGATGTTGAGTATTTCTTCATATGTTTATTGGGCATTTGTATGCCCAGTTTGACGAGGTGTCTATTTAGATCCTCTGCCCATTTTTCAATTGGGTCTATTGTCTTCCTTGTGTTGGGTTGTATAAGCACTCTATATATTTTTTAAATTAACCCCTTATCTGATATATCATTGGCAATTATCCTCTCCCATGAAGTGGGTTGCCTTTCCATTTTGATAGTTGTTTCTTTTTCTGTGCAGAGCTTTTTAGTTTCATGTAGTCCCATGTGTTCATTTTTTCCTTTGTTTCTGTTGCCTTAGGTGATATATCAGTAAAATTTCTACTGCGTGTGATGTCTGAAATTTTGTTGCCTACATTTTCTTCTAGGATTTTTATGGATTCGCGAGTCACATTTAAGTCTTTTATTTATTTTTAATTTATTCTTGTGTATGGTGTAAGTTGATGGTCTAGTTTCATTCTTTTGCATGTAGCTGTCCAATTTTCCCAACACCATTTATTAAAGAGGCTGTCTTTACTCCATTGTATGCTCTTACCACCTTTGTCAAATATTAATTGAGCATAAGGTTTTGGGTCCATATCTTGGTTCTCTGTTCTATTCCATTGATCTATATCTGTTCTTGTGCTAGTACCAAGCTGCTTTGATTAGAGTAGCTTTGTGGTCAATTTGCATTTAACTACTTGATATCCGATATTGTGATCCGATATTGTGATCCCTCCTACTTTGATATCCGATATTGTGATCCCTCCTACTTTGTCCTTCTTTTTCAAGATTGCTGTGGCTATTCAGGGTCTTTTTTGGTTCCACATGAACTTTTGAAGTTTTTGTTCTAGTTCTGTGAAATATGTCATTGGTGTTTTGATGGGGATTGCATTTAAT